ATTATACGAGAAATAAAGACACTATATAGGAATGGCAAAGAACTTTACTTTTACTGGTGAGTTCAGTGGTCCAGCAGTAGCAGCAGTTCTTACTGTTGAGATGATACTAGCTCTGATAGCTAATGGTGTGGTACTATCTATCACACTCTATCAAAGGAAGTCCTTGAAACAATCATCAACAATATTCTTCACTTCTCTCATACTGGCACATCTTACATCTTGTGTTGAATCTACTGCACCTTCCTTTCACTATCATTGCATTAGTTACTGGTGAGTGGATCTTTGGTAGTACAGATGAGGAGAAGAGTGGTTTCTGTTTATTTATTGCATATACACTGTGGTACATTATTTTTGCTATCTCAATGACACTAGCTGCTATATCATTTGATCGGTTTCTCTTTATTGTCAAGCCACATCTTCACAAGCGGCACATGAGACCCTGGGTAACACTGACCCTCACCATTGCTATATGGATACTGTCTGCTGTATTAGGTACTTGGCCATTCATTGATAATGGACACTACAGCTATGATGGCGAATTAGGTTTTTGTACCCTAATTGGTTTTGATATTGCATCCCTTTCTTTAATTCTTCCTATAATCTTCCTTGTTGTTGGAACTATCATTGTCACTTCTTTTTGGACCTTTTGTTTTACTAGAAGCTACTTCAAAGATCAGTCAGTGATAGCAGGAGAGAGTGTGTATGCCTCAAAGAAGAAGAGACTCTTTGGAATATTTGGAAGTATTTTACTCATTTATGGGACTGTTTAATTATTTGTAGCTTTATCCTTTCTTCTGCTGTTCTTCATTGCTGTACCGCATGAGCTTTTTGTGACAGGCTACCTTGTTTTTTTCTTTGTTACAATAGCCAGTCCTATTATCCAGTCATACTTTAGGCCTGAGATCAAGAGTGTTCTAGTCTCACGCTGTCCTCTTCTCTTTACTTGTGTTTGCTGTTCATGTGTACATGCTATTTGCTGATGTAAATTGTTTATAGTCCGTGTTTGATTTGCTGTAGTATATTGAGTATTATGTAATTTTGTTCAATTTTGTTATTAATTCCTCTGTGTGTTTGTAACTTATTCCCTTATTTCATTTTCATTGTTATTTTGAGATTGGTCTACTGCTATTAGTACCTTTATAAAGGATATAGCTGTTGCTATAAGTCTTGTATACAGTCCTTACTTGCTTTATATACTTTTGCAAAGAGAGTTTAGGACAATTTTGAGTGCTTGTTTCTGAAATGGAAGGCCACTTTACATTAACTTGTGAGTTCAATGCTCAAGCAGTAGCAGCAGTTCTTACTGTTGATATGATACTAGTTCTGATAGCTAATGGTGTGGTACCATCTATCTATCACACTCTATCAAAGGAAGTCCTGGAAACAATCATCAACAATATTCTTCACTTCTCTCATACTGGCACATCTTGTATTGAATCTACTGTACCTTCCTTTCACTATCATTGCATTAGCTGCTGGTGAGTGGATCTTTGGTAGTACAGATGAGGAGAAGAGAGGGACATGTATCTTTTCTGCTTTTTTATATTCATGTTTTATACCGTATAGCTGGTTTATTTTGTGGCCTCAAATTTTTGTTGCTTAAATTTTCATTAGAATTAATTTTAGTGCCTTGCTAAATTTTTGTTAATATTTAATTGGTTTTAATAAAATTTAGTGGAATTAATTTTAGTGGATTTGAGCCTGCACGAAAATTAATTCTACACGAAATAAACCAGCTATACGGTATCTATCATATTTAATACACTATATAGCCACTACATTGTTTGATTGGTTTCTCTTTATTGTCAAACCACATCTTCACAAGCGATTCATGAAACCCTGGGTAGCACTGACCCTCACCATCACTTTAGTTTATGGATACTGTCTGCTGTATTTAGCTGTGCATGGTCCATTTATTGGATTAAATGAATATGTTTATGATGAACAGCTCCTTGTATGTTACCAGTGTTCTAACAATATGATCAGTGTTAGCATTTCTGTTTTCCTTCTGTGTGTTACAACTGCAATTATCATTGTGACATCATTATTGACCTTTTGTTTCACTAGAAACTACTTCAAAGCTCAGTCAGTGATAGCAGGAGAGAGTGTGTATGCTTCAAAGAAAGAAGCGACTCTTTGGAGTATTTGGAAGCATGTTATTAGTCTATGGGATTTGTGTTGTAACTTGATGTACCTCCTAAACTTTATAATTCTGGTACGATATATCTCTTTTTTATCACAATAGCCAGTCCTATTATCCATTCATTCTTCAGGCCTGAGATTAAGAGTGTTCTTGCTTCACGCTGTCCTCTTCTCTTTTATTGTGCATGCAGTTAATTCATCATTAATGTGTGGTTGTAGCAATTGATGTTGGACATTAGTTTTTGTATACTTTAAGTTCTTTAGTTATTAATCTATTGATTTTGTTTTTCTGTTTCTCTACATATGACATAATTGTGACATCATGCCTTTGATACTGTAGTTCCATTTTGCCTTTTCCTGCTATCAAATATGGCTAATCTTTTATCATAGTAAATATTAATGCCTTGTAATAGAGTAGCGCAAGATACGTGTATAAGCAAGTATTACAGTTATTAGGAAAAATTAGATACTGTTTTACTGGTGAGTTCAGTGGTCCAGCAGTAGCAGCAGTTCTTACTGTTGAGATGATGAACATGTAAATACTACGTGTACATGTACATGCACTTGTATAGTAAAAGCTATTATAACCATTTGTTGAGTGTTCTGATTGGTCAATTGAAATGTGGTATGACACATGTACTAAGGGCGAATCCAGTAATTTGGAAATAGGGTGTTGTGAAATAAAATGGCATAAAGCACGTACGCCGTGATTTGGACCATGCCCCCTTTTGGAGCTATTTTTTGTGGTTAAAATCACGTAAAATTAACATTTTCACCATTTTTGGAACTCTTTCTTCGTTAATTATATTCATTAACCACAGTAATGTTGGTTAGCACTTCTACCACTGTTGCAGCAATAAAAAACATATAAATTTTTTGAGTTATAATGCTTTGGGGGGGGGGGTTGCAACGCCACAAACCCCCCCCCCCTAGATCTGCCCCTGACTGTACAATGTATACACATGTATACATGAGTAAACATCCATTACTACATGTTATTAACGTGTGTTCTCATGCCACGCCAATGACCAAAGAAAATAGTTACTAATTAGCTTACTGCACTTAGTGACAGATGTTTGATGTAGTTATTAATTATCATGATGTATTGATTAGTAGATGGGCACTGGTCCATTGAGTACCGTAGGGCGCTCTTTTTTTGAGGGATATAAATTTTGAGTTCCTTTTTTTAGCAAAGGTAAATTTTGCGAATGGTGACTGCCTAACACCCTTTTTAACTGGCACAATTGCTCTCTAAGGTACATGATTTTACAAAGGACCACAAGAGTTTTGGAAAAAACCAAAGAACATTGAGTCTAGTATTGTCCAAAAATAGCTGAAAATAGTCTAAAAGGCCATCTTTACTATAAAAATGCCCACATGACACATGCTGTCACACCCCCTTGCAATTAAAGGCCACAATATTTGCATCTTCAGGAAAGATTCACAAAATCTGCAAAATTTATAACCCTTGAAAAAAGGTGCCCTATGGTAATGGACAATGACAAGAAGTCGTACATGTACATGCGTGTGTTTGTGTATTGGTAGTATTTCAAAGTGTTAGCATGATTTGATTACTATAGCCAGCCCTGTAGTGATCCCCAGGCAGAAATGTTCAATGCACAAAGTGCACTGAAAAATTTTGCACAGCTAATTAACTATTTATGATAGGCATTGTCAATTTTAATTAATTAATGATATTAATAATGAAAGATACGTAAAATTATTGTAAGATATTTTATGGTTCCATCATAGGTTCAATGAATTTCAAGTCAGTCACGACAGTAATGATTCTTCTCAGTCTTCTGTTGTTATCCTTAGCAGCAACTCTGTTTAGAACTTCATCAGAGACAACTGAGCAGATAAGTCTCTTTCAATAGATGAGATCAATGGACCTTTGTTCTCTCATTGTTGTACAAAGCCACTTTTTAATTTTGTTTTAAGAGAAAAAGGATCATTCACATGATGCAGAGCTTACAGCTATGGTAAGTGTGATTTCCAATAACTTGACTAAATTATGAAATGTATTTTAGGTGTGATAGCTCCAAAAAGATACTCCTCAAACTTCTACCAGTAGTGTTGCTATGGCATGCTTGGCCGAAAAACACTTTTCAAAAATCATATCCTTATTGAGATTGTAGTTATAAATAATTGGGAGGATCTAAAAAGCTGGACAACTGAGGGTTTCAGTGCTGATTAGAGCATAGTATATCAAGATTGGGACCTGAGAACTGTTTGTTCAGCTCATAAAGTATGCAGTCAATTACTGGAATGTAAGTAGATGTTTTGAGCTAATAATCAGTGCTGCTCTTTTCCCTCATTCCAATACATGTAGTTTTCATTATGTTATCTTGAAGTCGATGTGGAATCACTCTTGTATGTCCATGACCATCAGTAAAGATGATGTCTAATAGTGGTTCTGACTTCTGAGCTGGACTGTAAAGTAAAGGCCGAAAAGACAAATTTAATCCTGGCAATATCAAAAAACAGCAATTCATATTGACTATAGTCTAATGATGTAAAATTTTGTTGCTGTCATTTTTATTCATAAAAAATGATAATTCAAATTGCAGCAAATTTAGTGGTGCTAACACTGACACTATATAAGATTACTTGAATTGTATCTTGAACTTGGTGGAAGCTGCTCTGCCCAATGGCATGTCATGACTATGATAATCATTTTTTGGCTCAGGTCTAGTTCAATGAAATAAAACCACTCTGTTCATAGTTCAATCATTCCCTCAGACACTAGACAGCATGACAACAAAGGCTATGCAGCAACTGGAATTTAAGTGAATCATAAACATACTTCATTGAATTATGAACATACTTATGAATATATACCGACAACAAAGTCTTGTTATCTAGCTCTATTAACCACAATAACCATTAATTAATGAACGGCCCCGCCTTTAAAACACGTGGTTGGCTTCACATTAAAATGGCGTCTCAAACTGAGTCTTTATCCGATGCTCTCTTGGAAGCTCTGGCAGAAAAGGGTCGAGTAGATTCCTATGAATATGCTACTAGTGTTGGTAAAAATCATCAAGACGTGGTTGGAGCAGTAAAGAGTTTGGAGTCCTTTGGAGATGTAAGTTTTAGCACTTGATTTGCACATGGTCTCGAGTTTTTGTCTCTCTTTTAGGTTATAAAGACAGAGCAGAAACAGACTGAATTGTGGGAGCTGACTGAAGAAGGTAAAGAGATAGCTGAGAATGGTTCGCATGAGGTTAGACTCTTTGAAGCAGTCGATCAATCAAATGGAACACCACAAAATGAACTGATGGTGAGCCTCATGTAATTATAAAATTATATATATATATATATATATATATATATATATTAATGACTTACCAATTTGTTCATTTTTGATACAAGTTTTATCAGTCGTAATGGAATTCTTTTTTACAAAAAAGCTTAGAAACGAATTAAATTTTAAAATAAAATAATCATATTTATTATATTTAATTTTACATATGCAGCACATGTATTTTTTTGTCTTCCTTTTTATTTCATTCCGC